GCCTGTCTGGCCAGCGTGAATCCTCTCTAAGCATTCCCTAGGCAAAGCTATCACCTAGAAAGCTCCATGACACCGTACAAGGCTTGTTACAGCCCTTTGATGTTGCCAAAACAGAGTTATGGAAGGTATGAGGAAAGGGTCAGTGGGAGGAGCATCCCAAGAGCAACAAATCTCCGGGACATTGACACCTCAGGAGGAGACTTTCCGGTGGGTCCATGAGAGATGTCCAGGTATGCCACAGCATGAAAACATAGGACTCTGGGCACCAGAGGCAGGCAGTATAGGAGTCCTCCTGTATACCATCAGCTGTCCTCACATTGTCTCCGTATTCCATCTCAGGGCACACTCCCCTCACTCTGATCACACACACACACACACACACACACACACACACACACAATTGTTTTTGTTTGTTTGTTTGTTTGAGACTTACCAAAAAAAGGCTAGAAAAGTGGAAAGCTCAGGCCACACCAGCCAGGCCACTCCAGAGTCCTTACTTGGAACCCACACTAGCTTCTGCACACTGGTTAAGGAAGAATGTGCCTGGGTTCAGTTTTCTGACCCCGTCCCTGGTGAGCAGTTTCCTGTCCAGGGGAGTCAGCTGCTTCACTCTCTGATGGTGGCTACCCCATGAGCCTGGTCTCACATCAACCTACCCCATGAGCCTAGAGCTGGTCTCACATAAACCTACCCAGTGAGTCTATAGCTGGTCTCACATAAACTACCCCATGAGCCTCCTGTGTAAGCACTGTAGCACAGACACCTGCTGGCTCCAGAACGGTCTGCTAGCACCAGAGGACAGAGTGGGAGGCATGGGATGCTTTCTGCCCTCACCTCGGGGCCTGAGGCAGGGGCATCAACTCAGCACCCGCACAGCAATGATGGGGTGTAGGGATTTTCAGACAGTCACCAACGCTGGCTTCTCCAGGCTTCTAGCCAAGTCCCAGGCCCTGCCTTCAACATAAGTTTCCAAAGAGGCCAAACTGGTGCCTCTGATTTCCTAAGGAAGCCACCTGCTACTGACTGCTCAGACTGTGGACAGCCCAGAGGATGGCCAGGAGACCCTCTCACCTCTCACTTTCTGGACCATCCCTCCCCTCAATGACCTTAACATTCAAAACGCAGGCAGCGATAGCTCCACAGAATTTCCCACAGGATCTAAGGAAAAACTCAGGACCACAGACACTAAGCTGATGAGTACCAGTATAGCTTTCTTACTCACAAGGGAGGGATGCTTGATAATGACTTCGCTCTAACAATGTCCTTCTCCTACGTCTGCTAGAGCCAAACATCAGCCCCAACACTGCCAGATGTGAGCAACTAGCTTCCCAACCCTGAACCTCAGCTTCTCATTTACAGAAAGACGAGACAGGTTCTCTGAGAACACTAAGTTCAAGTCCAAGAGAAGGAGACAGCATCTGCAGGTACAAGCAAAGTGACAGAAACTGAGTCACAGACCAGGTCTCCTACAACTCAGCCAGGCCCTAGAAAGTTGGGCTACCCTCCTGGTCCAGATGCTGCTATCCACATCATTTCACAGGTTGGGGAAAGTCGGGGAAAGGGGGTGGTCACTGAGAGTCAGGAATCTGACCCCTCTCCAAAGCATTTATCATGGCTCCCACAAAACAACTGAGTGTCGGATCTCAAGAGTGGACAGAAACCTACTTACAGTAGAAGGGCATGTCTCACCCTGTACCCTGGTTCAGAGTTACCCCAAACCAACCTCAGGAGCTGCAGAGCCCACCTGGATTTACAGCAGACAGCAGTGCAGCCCAGGGGACCTCCAGCTCAGAACACATCCTATCAGGAAGAGCCGCCACAGGAAGAAGTGACAAGTTGGCCGTTACTTTAGCCGTCCTAACACCAGCACGCTGGTAATCTATCCGAATCCCCTCCCGGCACGATGCTGACTGTGTCACTATAAGAACTGAGCAGATAAGACTAAGACGTGAGACTGCCAACACAGAGGAGATTTTTAGTTTCCCTCCCTTTCCCATGTGGTTTAGCTTGAAGGAGATGAAAAAGTCAGATGCTCAGAGAGGCCAAAGGACACGGGACCACACAGGGTGGCCGGGGAAAGCCCCAGGAAGGGACTTTGCTGGGGAGGGATCTGCAGAGGAGAGAGGAACAGGAATTCAGAAAGCAGACAGAAAGAAAAGTCCTTCTGAGCTCACTGGGGACCACAAAAGGCCAGATACCTAGTACTTACTGTTCAGGGATGTACCGTGTCGACCCAAAGACTTTGGAGACAAACATTTGAAACATAGAAACTATTGTGGACTGAATGACTGTATTCCCCCAGATTCATGTGCTGACATTTCAACTCACCAGCTGACAGCGATAGGGGGTAGGACTCCGGGAGGGACAAGGACATGCTCCCTCCTGAGGGGAATGGAGCCCTCTTGAAGGAGGCCTGAGAACTAGCTCACTAGCTCTTTCTGCTCTGTCTGTAGCCCAGAGCCAGGCCTCAGCAGAGGCCCATGCTGCCGGAACCCTGATTCCCAAGCTTCTAGGATGTTTCTTATGAAACAAACATCTCTTGTTTACACATCATGGTCTACGCCAGAGGTTCTCAACCTTCCCAATGCTGTGACACTTTAACACAGCTCCTCATGTCATGGTGACTCCCCAACCATAAAACGATTTTCATTGCTACTTCGTAAATGTAAATTTGCTACTCTTGTGAATCACAATGTAAATGTCTGTGTTTTCCAAGGGTCTTAGGTGACCTCTGTGAAAGGGTTGTTTGACCCCCTAAAGGGGCTGCCACCCACGGTAGAGATCCACTGGTCTATATGCCTCTTTAGAGTTGTCCAAAGGGAACACAGCAGGAATATTCCAAACAAAGACACATGACCAACTTCCATAGACAACTCAGAAATTCTGGCAAGGCTGTCCACTTTCCCATTGCTGCCATCGGCTGGCTTGATGGCCCACGGGCTTCTGTAGGCAAAGCTTCCTGACCTTTTGAGCCTCACCCCACCTCTTCCCAGGCCAAACCATGGGGTTCCTCTGCACCGTTCCTGTCATCACTGTCTCTAGTAACAGGGAATTCTGCCTTTTACTCATGCCTGACTTGAGCAGGAAAATGACAAATCCAAAGGCCCCATGCTTCCAGAACAGTAGGCAAGAGCTCGATTGTACTAGAGCCGCAGAGCGTGCCTACACCGCTCCATTTTCTCGCTTTTGCTGGCCTCTAGAACGGTGGTTCTCAACCTGTGAGCCTGACCCCTTTGGCAAACCTCTATGGCAGAAAAATATTTATATTACACCGGGCATCGTGGCGCATACCTTTAATCCCAGCACTTGGGAGGCAGAGGCAGGCGGATCTCTGTGAGTTCGAGGCCAGCCTGGTCTACAGAGCGAGTTCCAGGACAACCTCCAAAACAATACAGAGAACCCCTGCCTCGAAAAACCAAAAAAATTATATTACGATTCGTAACAGTAGGAAAATTACTGTTGTAGAGTAGCAATGGAAATAACTACGACTGACAGTGTTTTACAGACAGAGGGATGAGGCCTGCGCCTTTGTCAGGATCAGCCCCTGGGATAGTGCCAAGCTCCTCTAGGACCTTGAGTTGGCTAACATCTCTGTCCAGGTTGCCCATCCCTTATCTAAAATGCCTGAGACCTGAAATGTTTCTGATCTGGGTTTTTTTTCTTTTTTTAGACATGGGAATATTTGAATATACATAATAAGGTATCTTGGGGTTGAGCCACAAGTCTAAACACAAAGTTTGCTTAGGTTTCATGCACATTTACTCACTGACCATGGGGGTAATTTCACACAATAATTTTCATGCCTTTGCCTTTTCACCGTCTCCTGTCACATGAGGTCCACGCAGAATTTCCCATGTGCTGCATCACCCCTATACTCAAGTTTGTGATTCTGGGGCATTTTATATTTCACAGTTTTGAATCGGTGTGCTCAGCCTGTAGTGCTCCAGAGCAGCCTATTGTGTCCTATGAATATGGCTGGAGGTTCCTCAGTAAGTGGATGGGTGCGGGCCTGTGTATGTCTGTCTGTCTGTGTGTGTGTGTGTGTATATATGTCTGTCCGTCTGTCTGTGTGTGTGTGTGTGTGTGTGTGTTTACTTCAACACACCTGCTGTAGAGGTACCCCTTGGAGGCCAGTGACATCTGAGACCACAACACTGCAGCACAGAACAAGCTGTAGATATCTTAGGAGACCTCCCCTACTGCCTGTTCTCTGGGAAAAACCTATAGCCCACACCCACAAGCCCATCCCCCAGACCTCATGTGACAAACAAGCCCTGAGGATAGCATTCACAACCATCTCCCAGATCCACTATGGGGCTCTTCCATGTCCTGTTGTCATCCCCACCTCCACACCCCCCACCCCCCACCGCCCCCTCCCCCCAGCCAGCACAGTTCCCGTAGGGTTTGGTTTGCTTTTGTAGCCTGGAATTGAAAGACACTAGATAAGCCCTTATTTCTGGGGACAGTGCCCCAGAAATGCCCAAGGAACAGCCCTGCAAAGGCCTTTGCTCCGATCCTGATCAAGCAACTACAGTAGATTTCTCCCTTCCCACAATCTAGCCACAGACAAGGCATCAAAGTCCTATGGATTCAGACCTCTGTCCCAAGGAATCCCTAAGGAGCCTAAATAGGCAGGATATTCAGATGAACAAGTCCTGGAAACTGAGACCGCCACCCCTCCTAGTCCTCCCCAGGAGCTGCAAACCAGCACCTTAAACTGTGACCGGAGGAGACGGGAAGCATGGCCTGCCTGCCTCTAAGAAAAGCCCTCAGTTGGGTGGGATGAAGCAGGGTAACTCTCACCTACATTCTCAGGCTGTTCGAAATCAAACAGGACAGCAAGTGTGGCAGTGGGTGGTGACTGTGATCCTGGCCGTGACTGGCGGGAGCCAAAGGTTACCCAGCAGAGACAGCAGGGAGACGAGACAGCAGGGAGACGAGACAGTCTCCACCCTCTCTCCCGCCCCACCCTCTGCACCCGCCAGCCCAGCAAACCTTACCTTTCAGAGATGCCACGTGTGACAGGGCCTGGGCATAGGTAGCTGTGTTCAGAAGGGTCCCTGGCAAGCAGGAGGGGAAGAAAGGCCCGGCAGGGCCCACTGTTCGTCCCAGGCTGGCGAAAACAGAACATTCCATTGAAGTCCAGCCTTCCTCCAGAGCTACCCCAGACCCATAGTCCATGGCCACACTAATCTCACCTCTGCTGGGCCTCCAGGGCTTCCTTCTTGCTCCGGGCCTGGTCCCCTGGTGGAGGAGAATTGATGTTTCTCACGGGTGGTGGTGTCACCTCTGCCATGGGCTCCTTGGCCCCTGGTTCCTGGTCAGAGGCCCCTCTCTCTGTCTTCCTCCATTTGGCTCTTCGGTTCTGGAACCAAACCTAAATCCCATAGGAAACATACCCAAGGGAGGCAGACAGTCAGCCAAGAGGACCCAGCCATGACCCATGCACAAACCCCAGGAGGCCCATGCAGATGCCGTCAGTTCTCGGCCTCAGAACTTCAGACCAGAGCTGGGCTGCTTCTGACAGGCGCTTTCCAATAACTAGTAAAGAGCAGAAAATACCAAGGGCATTGCCCACAGGAAGGGAAATCGGCATCCTGTAGGAGTTCGCAACACTGAGCTGCCTGTGAGAACATGATTTTGATGTGAAATGTTTTCCCTACAGGGAACATGGTGAAAGCAATTTGTAAAATGCTGTTCCGGGGCTTCTTGTCAAAAAAGACACAATCCACCTTCCAGCAAGCTCACACCGGAGCTCTGCCCCTGAAGGATCATCGCTGTATACAGGAACCTGTTCCTGACCAGCCACCTGCAGTATTCAGGAGAAACCCTCTCTCTGGAGTCAGAGTGGCTTAGGAATTCTGAAGCTTGGTTAACAAATGTGGGTTGGGGTCCACGGGAACCCTCCGAGATAAGTCATCCCCATTTCATAGACGGGGGAGTTCACTCACCTGCCAAAGGTCATCCAAGTGGTAAGTGGAAGAACCCACAACGAAAACCCCAGTGACATGGCTCAGGAGTATGAGGCACAGTTTTGGGGAAGAGGACGATGCTACCACCCCCAAGCATTGTTAGGAAGGCTGACATACACGCAAAATACTGCACAGTGCCTGGCAGTACAGCAATTGGACACTCAGTAAAGTGATTAGTGTCCCATCTACTTTAACCTCGGGTCAAGACAAGGTTTGTCTACCCTTGACCTTAGTTTGGCACTCGCTTAGAAATTGGTGTCAGCTAATTCCTAAGTCTGGGGAGAGAAAGAAATTGCATTTGCTGATAGAGTCCTGGCAGTTCCAGCTTAAGATGTTCACAGAAAGCAACAAAAGCCCACAGGTCTTTCCCCAAAGAAACCTCCCTCTCCTCACCTCTTCTCAGAGGTGATTTGTCTAAAATCTAGGTCCGCTCCAAAGGGCAGAGAAACGCCCCACACTCTCTTGCCATGGCACGGTGGAGTGGGCAAAGAGCCTGGACCCTTGAGGCTGAGCCCCCCGCTAGCCCACCCTATCTCTTAATTCTCTTTCTCCTTCAACTGCGTTCCTTTCTGTTTTTAATCGTGTTGGCTTTTAATTGCACATATCAGCAACCATTGAATAATGATTTTATCTATATTCTAAATTTAGGGCAGTTAAATGCAAAGCAAAATGCAGACACTTTCTTGTGTCTTAATTGAATGAAGGTCACAGCTATAACAACATTTAATTGAGCTATTTTTCATTATCATATTTTAATGACTTTGCACTGACAGTCCGCCCGCTTCTGAGGAAGGAGCGTGATGGAGTCGTTTATTTCCCTATTTAGTTATTGTTTGACAACATCAGCTTCGATTAAGACCCTGCTTTATAGAACATTAATCATATTTGAATGAGCAAGTGGTATAAGTGTAAACACATCTCCCTTCCCGCCACCGAGGCTCTTGTCCCCACATGGAAGCTGGCTACGCAAGAGCGTGCCTACCTTTGTCTGCCTGCATAATAGCCAACAATGGCCGGGACAACAATTCTCAGCTTTAATTGTCACCACCCCTATCTTACCCTTGCACCTTTCAGGGAGAAGTTATGATCTTCTTCTTCTGAATGCTCAATAATTGTGTCATTTATCTCAATTTGCAGTTCAGTCTTTAGGCAGCTATTGGCAAGCTGGCATTAAAAAAAGAAACTATAGAGGGGTCCGGGCCAAAGAACATTTTCATTCCCAAATAATAATCAGTTTAATTTGCCCGCATATGACCAATGATTCATGTTCAGATTTAATAATCAGGATCACATAATCTGATTATAGGGGAAATAATTTGTTTACAACCCCCAATTTACTGCTCAGAATTCCATTATCTCTCTTCAGCCATTGGTTTTTAAGAGATACTAACATGACCCAGGGGAACGGAAAGCAAACTATTATATTTCCTACAATTAGATCTTTGCATAGTCTTAACCCCAAGCCCCTACATAAAAAAGAAGAGAAACAGCATGGAGGCAACCCCATAAATAAAATGAATATATAATTGTGCGCAGAGAATAACGGGCCTGGAGAGGCAGTGCTGTGAGACTTCTCTCGTACTCACTCAGGCACGGCTGCTGCGCTCGGCACTTAAAAGCAGCTTCCAGAAAAGCAATGCAGCTTAGTGCCCCCCCCGGGCCAGCCGGCCCATATCTGCTCAGCCGATTTGCTGCTGCTGTTTAAAGATTTTTAAATTGCACGTGTTTTTCAGGTCCACTTTGCTCAAAGAGTCTATGTGCAGGGCAAAGTCGGGCATGATGCAGTTTCTGGAAAGCAGATCCTGCCCTGCTTCCCATCTGGAAACGCTGTTCTCTGCAATTGACCGGCCTCACCCCAGAGCGGTCAGATTTGCTTTGCGAATAGCATCTCAGCTTTTTTTTTTTCCAAAGCAAGGAAATGGATGTGCATTGATGTAATTTAGTACCTTAGAGACGCGGACAAATTAGTGTAGAACATTATCACTAGTTAATTATGAATGACCGATTAATCAACCTAATCTAATATTCCACATTATGTTGATGTTATTAAAGTGCATCATGAAAATGACAGATAGTCTTCATTTGCTTTCTTTGGCCAAATGTGCACTCTGCAGTCATGATGTCAAAAAAAAAAGTTTGCCAGTTTTAATATTAGAGAGTTAAATAATTTAAGAGAAGGTTTACCTGCACTCTGGCTTCTGTGAGGTTTATTTTCATGGCTAGCTCCTCTCTGGTGAAGACATCTGGGTAGTGTGTTTGGGCAAAGACCGCCTCCAGAGCTTCCAGCTGGTAAAGGAAAAAGAAATGTTTACTGGTGAGAGGCTGCGGCTAGGTGAGGGAGAGGATGCGTGCTTCGGAGTTGCCAGGAGTGGTGAGGAAGCAATTTCGAAAACCAAATCCAGGAAGGAAATGGAGAAGAGAGCTGTCTATAAAGATCCCACAAAGGCCTGGGCGAAGGTGCTCGGGCGAGCCCGGTGAAGGGAGCCAGGTCCCAAAGACACACATGGGAAGCGGAGACCCAGCTCCTGCAGGCTGTTCTCTGACCTCTTTATGTGCACCGTGGCATGCAGGCGCACACAGGCCCACATGGACACACACACGTGCAAGACATAAATAAAATATCATCTTTTAAAGATAAGGGAGATTCCACAGAATGACAACTTAAGTTCCAGTAGTTGATTTCATAGTTAAGGCTACTAACAGCCACAATGTGCCCTCCCTGAGACACAGAAACAGACAAGTAATGGATGCTTCTGTGTGTTTCTGCTGAAATTTTTCACGGGAATAAAGAGTCTAGGGTTGTCTCATGAACAGAGTGATCTCCACAGTGCCACCACGGGAGTCGAAAGGGCTGTCCGCCTGTGGAACCCTAGAGGAGTCAGCCCCACAGGAGCCTTACAGGCGTATGGGGGTCACCTTCATTCAGTTCAGGAAGGAGGCTGGCTGCTCTCCGACACTCAGCTCTGGGAAGCCCAGAAGAAAAGTTGCAGCTGTGGCCCTTCTACTTCCAGCCAGCTACTGTGTCTGCTCATGAGGCAACCTTGTAGGTCAGTTCTCCCATCTGTCTATCTGGGGACGAGAAGGCCTCGCCTGAGGCAGGGCGTGGTGGTGCATGCTTTCAATCCCAGCACCCAGGAGGCAGAGGCTGGATCTCTGTAAATTCAAGGCCAGCCTGGTCTACAGAGCAAGTTCCAGGATACCCAGGGCTACACAGAGAAACCCTGTTTCAAAAAAATTACAAAAAAAAAAAAAAAAAGATTACCCAACTTGCATTCTGCTGACAGGGAAATGTGCCTCAGATCATCTGTCTAAGACCTGGGGAAAATTCCATAGCTGCTTCCTTACTGATTATCTGGAATTAGGAGGCCCGAGTTAACTATCCTTTCCCCAGGCAAACACGTTTAAGTTATTCAAGGAAACAAAGACCTAGTTAACTCAACAGTTGGCCTCCTTTTAAAAGGCAAAGGGGAGTGGCTCCTCTGACTTTGGGGGAGGTGGGAAGAACCTGGTGCTCACTCTGAGGAACCTGTCCTTACCTGCTGAAGGGTGAAGGTGGTCCGGTTCCTGCGCTGTTTTCTTCGAAGAAACCCATCATCGAAATCCCCTGTAGAATGGTTGCCAAAAGGTGCTGTGCCTACAGGGAGTGGATGGGATCAGTGCAGGGGGAGAGACACACACACACACACACACACACACACACACACACACACACACTCACACACACTCACACACACACTCACACACACTCACACACACACACTCACACACTCACACACAGACACACACTCACACACACTCACACACACTCACACACACTCACACACACACTCACACACACTCACACACACTCACACACACACACACACACACAGGTGCTGTGCCTACAGGGAGTGGATGGGATCAGTGCAGGGGGAGAGACACACACACACACACACACACGCACACACACACACACACACTCACACACACACACTCACACACTCACACACAGACACACACTCACACACTCACACACTCACACACACACTCACACACACACTCACACACACTCACACACACTCACACACACACTCACACACACTCACACACACACTCACACACACTCACACACACTCACACACACACTCACACACACACACACACACACAGGTGCTGTGCCTACAGGGAGTGGATGGGATCAGTGCAGGGGGAGAGACCCGGGTCTGCAGACCACACACACACACACACACACACACACACACACACACACACACACAGGTGCTGTGCCTACAGGGAGTGGATGGGATCAGTGCAGGGGGAGAGACCCGGGTCTGCAGACCACACACACACACACACACACACACACCAGGGAGCCCGTCCTTCCAACATGTGTCTCTGTGCTCTCTTAGTAAGGCACCTCTTTTCACTACCCCAGGCTCTGTGTCTCCACAAAACCTTTGTAGGAGCAGGTTTCCTTATTGCATAGGACAATGGCCACCTTAAGATCCAAGACAGTCAAGTCCACTCCCTGTGAAATTGTGGTCTCTGAGTCAGGAGGGGTCAGTGGCTTGAGGGAACTGTGGTCCTCATCTGCCTTCCTACTCCTAACTGCCCTCTGCCCCCTGTCTGCCTGCCCCCTACCGTGGACCCTCCCACAGAAGACTGAATACACCTGTAGGCTTACTCGCCTTGTTGCTATAACTACCAAGGGCTAAAGGCTGGGAAAGAAAGGAAACACCGAGAGCTTTTCACACCACTTTCCTTCTAGAAGTACAGAATTCAGGGAGGTAAGAAGTTTATAAATGATTATAAATTACTGCTGGTCACAGCTCATCAGCACCATAGTGGGTCTATTACATAGATACCAATTAACAAAAGGCCTACACCAATGAATGCCAAACTAACTTGCTAGGGCCACTCTCCAAGGACACTCCACTAGGTAAACAGGCCTTACATGACATCCTGCTGTCCCTCCCCACTTCCCTGGAAAAAGAAAGACATTGTTCTCGCCAGCAGCCTCCAGTGCTCACGATGAAGCCAGAATGCAGTCTGGCCCCAAACGTGCATTTGGATCATTCTCCAAATGTGCACTATTTACTTGATAGTCCACAATGGCTTCTTAGGAAAACAAATGAGTAGGTTTCCATTAACCAGTTCCATTCACCTGCCATGGGCGCTACTGCCAGAATCACCCAGGGCTCACCGCAGCTCTGAGACCACGGCGTCCTTCACCAGCACCTTGGTCCCTAGAAGACCAAGTCCTCCAGGCCTTCTCATATTCCATCTACACAGTCCCAGTGAGTGATGTTTAACCCTACCTGATGGTGTCTTGTCAAAACACTGCCCCCTTCTCTAGGAGAGCTTTCTCCCCCCATCCAAACTGCACTCTTCCTCAAAACCCTAGTAACAAGTATTTCTCTTCATCTTGATAGAAACCCAAAGGGACTGATTCAAAGCAGCCTTGTTTCCCATGCTTTGCTGTCTCTTTCTGAAGTAAAGTATTTGACTGGCCAAGCATGGAGCACACTCTCAAACTCCCTGGTCACTGTCTCACCCAGTCTCCTCCCTTACAACTTTGCTTCAACATTGCTCACAATGCTTCCCAGCCTGCAAGACCTGACTTCACCAAGCCAGGAAGGAAAAGACTGACAGCCTAAGAGTAAAGGAAAGATGACAGTGGGCTTCTTGAAAAGAAATAGAATGCTTGATAAAGTTATGCACAGCTCCTCAAACAGAATATATTAGGACAATGAAATAATATGTTCATTATTTGGTCTAAAAAAGTGCATAATGATGCCCAGAACCTATAAATAAATTGCTCATGTGCATTTATTATTCATATGAGTATCAATTGGTGAAAATGTATTAGAAGGCAGCTGAATAGTAACCATCAAAAATTTAAGTGCACAGGTTTTTAATCTATGAATATAACTATAAAGAAGGCTGAAAGAGAGAGGGAGGAATGTTCTTGGAGATGTTGCAATTAGGAGATAAAACAAGAGGCACACCAAGCACACATTTGTGGATATATTCTGCAAACCAAAAACCGGAATACTACACAGCAGTCTAAAAGAAAAATAAGTGGATCCATACACACAGCATGGAAAAATCTCAAAGATGTGTCATGAAGTAAAACCAAAACCGAAGTCCAGGATGACTAGACAACATACTCTCGGTGCAAATACGACATAGCCGACGTGGAATGAAGCGCTCGGGCGACGATGGACTCATGAGAAAAGAGGCGGGCTTTGCTCCCCAGTGTGTGGGTTCTTCGCCTTGAGAGCCACGCAGCACTCTCTAATTTAACCCGAGCAAAGTATCTGAGAAGTAAGACTGCATTCACACTCCGGCTTTCTCCTTTGTGCCTCCCTAGAACCCGAGGTCTGCTGCCCAAAGTCATTCTCAACTGTCTTGCCTACTGCTCACCAGCCTGCCCCAGCGAGACTGACCTAGACATAAATTCCCCTCCTGAAAAACTGGCTCAGATATATATCTACAAAAGTCTCTCTCCTTCTGGTCACATCAGTCAGCGTCAACGTGCGGTCTACAGAGAGCATGGGTAGCAACTAAGCTAAGAAGAAATAAGCTAAGGGCAGTAAGCAGGTCAGAGAGCCTGAGTTAAGGTGGTCTCTAAGTCACTTCTGTAACCCACGCTTCCAAGCAGGCTCCTGCTTAGGTCACCAGAATGTACACAGCTTGCTAAATGCCCAGATCTCTTCTTTTCCCAATTGACGGTAGCCTGGGCTGGGGACTGGCAATCGGTGCTGAAGTTGGAGTCAGCAGCACATAGAAACTACACACACAGTCCTGGGTACAGTAGTCAAGGATTGTGCCTTTCTGACTCTGCCATAAAGCTGCCCCTGCCTGGGTCTTTCCTGGTGTTGAAATGCAGGCATGCAGAGCTCAAATGATGCCTTCCCACCAGCTTTCTTTAGCAAACTCTGCTAGTTGCTTAAGGGCTTTTATAGGAAAAATAAAAACCCACTCCCAAATCATGGTTGAGACTGGGAACTGCTTAAGGTAACTTACAGAAAGGTGGGCAAGTATCCCAGGCTTATAAAAGTTCCAGTGTCTCAGGGCCACAGCACAAGCCAGAGTTTGGGGCAGCATGCCCACCTAATGGCTACAAATCACTGCCAGGGAGAATTCACCCTTGCATCCCCCGGGCCCTGCTTAGGGATACCTAGAGATGCAAGCTCTTCACTTCTGACTACCCCTGCCCCATCTCACAACTGGAAGAAGAGACCATAGAAGGAATAGGGAAAGGAGGTTTTTTTTCCTAAGGTCTAAAGACCTTAAACCACCAGACCTTGGTCCTGGGATTTAGTGCGAGTGGGCATTTGCGGTCAGAAATACAGTGAGTCGCTAAGATGAAGCTATGCCTAGGCACCGGAGCAGGTAACTAGCAGGGAACTTGTCTCCAGGGACAGCTTTGCCGCTAGGAATTGACGTTAAGTTGTCCAGAATTACATGTGAGATCCCGGAGCATTCTCGCCAACGCCCAGGATGAGGGCAATCAGGCCCTTCGTGGCGAGCATAGGAGCCCAGGACACAGCGGGCAGTTCAACTTGCTTTGGTTTTCTGGGATGTTAGCAAAACACCGTGAAAGATTGATGCGGGCCCCCTGGGTAGAGGAGCCCCGATTAGAGGCGTGACACCAGCATCTGTGCTGGGAGGACCTGGCGTCCCCGAGGCACCCATAGCCCGGGGCAGCGCACGACCCAGGCAGAGAGGGAGGTGGGAAGGCAGGTGGCATCCGGGCGGAGGGATGGAGCTGGGTGTAGGGAGGGGGCTAAGGGCGCCCCTAAGCACTGCCATGCGGCTGCCACCTCGAGGGACGAAGACCCCAACACCCATCAACCCTGCTGCGGCCCCAGCCGCTTTTGGCTGCCTTGGCCTGGCCAAACAGTCCTGAAAGCGGCGCTTACTCACCTTCTAGCTGTGGCGGACAGTGGAAATAAAACATCGCCGACGGTCGGATTGGCCTTGAAGGCTGAACCAGGGCTAGCGGCGGCCTGGCAGACCTGTGCCTGTGCGTGGCTCCGGCCTGGCTGCAAAGCAAACAGCAGTAGAGCCTGAGTCTCCTGCCCGCGCACCCCAAGGATCACCGGGAGTGCCCCTCCTACAAAGCCCTTCCCAAAGCCGTTGGCCCCCTGGGGCCCCCGCGGGTTGAGGGGAGGGGAGTCTGGGGGGAAGTGGTTACCCCTCCAGTCCCAAACCGTGACCCTACGGTCAGTCTTTCGCGTAGGTTCGGCTGCTGGACAACCGCGCCCTCACCGAGCTGGGCACAGTCTGGCTCCTGGTTCTCAGGGGTCCCGGCCGCAAGCGCTGCACTTGGCCACCGCAGCGAGTTCAGGCGATCGCGCAAGGCCATCTGCACGCGCAGCAGCTCGGGCCAAGAAGCCGGTGGAACCCAAGGCCCAGAGCAGGGAGCGGGAGAAGCGGGTCGGGAACCCTGCCTACCTCCGCGGGAGGCGGGCGAGAAGGCCCGAGTGTGATCGCCTCTGGTCCGCACGCGGGGCTCGGCTGGCGGCGGGCGGGGCTTGGCGCTGCTGGCGCCCGCAGGACCAGAGAAGTGACTGGGGAAGTGGCCAGATGTCTTGCTGTCTGTCTACAGCGCGCGCCGCCGCTCAGCACTCGCCTTTATAATCTCACGCATAATTGGCCTTAATCTGATTATTTCCAGCGCTGTCTACAGCGAGTAACTTGGATAGGTCTATTGGGCCTTACAAATGGCCCACGTGGTGTAAAAAAAAAAAAAATCCGTCACTTCTCAGCAAACATCAGGAATCTTTTTTCCTCTTTTCTTTTAAAAGAAAATAGAAACAACAGCCACTAACATCCTCCCTCCCCAAAGAGATTATGCTCGAAACAGTCGCCCCAACCCTACCCCTCTGGGTCCATTCACACTCAAACCTTCTTTCTCTGAGCGAGATTAGATTTCAACTCGCCCTTGTCAGAGGCCTGGCGACTCCTGGACTGCAAAATTACCAAAGCGCTGCTAATTGTCGCCGCCGGATGGGTTTTGGGGGTACTCTTTGCACACGGCTTTCCTTTCCAAGCGATCGTACAAAAGGAAAGTTTGATTTTGTTCTCAGCAAGGGGTCCCTGAATTTATGTTCGCTTCTCCCTGCAAATGATATGCAGTGGGACCCTTCGCAATTACTTTTAAAATGCATCCGAGGCAGACACTCAGCGGAGAGAGACCGCCCTTCTCTCTGCCTGGGTGAAAATTAAACTCTAAAGTACCGGGTTGAAATTTTCAAGTCAGGGGCGCGGGATTGGATCAAATCACATAAACTGCAAAAAAAGCAAGTCTAATGGCGCATAATTGGTTCTGTAATAGCATTACACCAGGATAATAGCCCGTTACGGCCCCCTGCACTATTAAGTGCTTCCCTGGCGGAAAGCCTTTATGATATTAAAGGGGGAATATAATGATATTTTGGTTATTAAATGCGTGTAATTAATTTATGCACCACTGAAAATAAAGTTGGTATTATGACCCACTCAAGATGCATCAGAAAATGAGAGTCAGACAACTGTTGATAAGTTCTGGTGTCTGTGTTGCGTCTAGACTGCCGATTTTATTTTGGGACGATGGCTTCTTGGACAGACTGCATAAATTGAATATTTTATAAACATTCTAATGCTGCGTTTGAGAGCCTTGGCGAAGCGGTGGGTCGGGTCCCTGCCTGGTCTGGGATCCAGCCTTGATCTTAAAGACACAGAGCTTTGGAAACAAAAGACCTGGCGGGCCCACTCGTGGACAAGCGCCTGGGGCGAGTCGCGCGGAGCTGGAGAATCGAGTGCTGAGGCCCTGGCCGAGCGGTGGACACCCCTGGGAAAACAGCCTAGAAGAAACGCGGCATCGCTCTGGCCAACGCAAGCCGAACCTCTTTCACAGAAGCGGCCCTTTCTGGACTCAGCCGCCCCTGGCCGGAATCGGCCCTGCTGGGAGCAAGGAAAGGCTGGAAATTCCTTCTCAGCTTGGAGCGGACAGACCCCGCCGCGCCAGCTCTTCTCCGGGGCCACAGACTCCAAGAGTCCAGGCAGCGGGCCGGGTGGAGAGCGCGGGTGAGACGGGTGGGCCCCCGCGGTGGACGGCACGGTCAGCGGGGCAGTGCACAGCTTCCAGGCTGGGGGCAGACCCTTTCACCGCCCCAGGCCACTGCTGGCTCGCGGGCGCCGGCTTCCCTCCAGGTCCGGCTCAGAGAACATCCCTGCTCCCTGCAACCAGTTCCAGGAGCCGAAGGCCCCCTGAGTTCCGGAGTCTGCCGAGAACCCCCTCGGATGCCCTCCTGCCCCGGGCTACAGCTTCCCGAGGGCGCCTTAAGCGCTCCGGGAATCGAGAGCCCGGGAAGCGAGGTGAAGAAGGGTTCCCCGCCAGCTCGGCTCAGCGTGCACTTGCGCTATCCGCGGGAACCTCGGCCCCAGCAACCTAGCGCCGACTGCCACGTTGGCCCCCCAAAAACAGTGATTTCCCAGCTTCGGATCAACTCCCTGTCGCTGACCCTGAGCCGCGGAAGTTCCTGGGAAGCCCTGACCTGAGCCGGGTCTTAGGAAGGAAACTCGCACGGAGAGTCTGAGCCTCCCTCCGAATCAGCCGACTGATCAGAACCACGGACAGCGACAAGCGTCTTCATCCTACCTGGCGGTTTTGCTGGCCCAAGAAGCCACCAGTCCCCAGGGCCCTTGTGAGGTCCTGTACTGCCCCGCATCAAGGCCCGGACAACCAGTTCCAAGAGATCTTAATCCTCTCCCGGTTCAGACTTTAGAAAGTTATTTGGGATGCGCACTTAGCGCCGGGAGTAGGAAGAGAACTCCCGACTCTGCTGTCTCAAACGCACCGCTCCTACCGGTGGCTGAGAAACACCCCAAGACCCCCTTGTCTCCTGGCCCGACCCTCCCAGCGCTTCTTGACGCGAGCCCGGCCAAGCCCTTGGCTGGACAACCAACCCAGCTCCAGGAAAACATCCACCTTGTGAGGGGCTCCAAGTCAGCTCGGGACCCTCAGCCTCAATTCACCCGATGTCCCTTTTCTATAGCTACTAGGCTGGGCTCGTCCCTATGGCAAAACAGAGAATAAACAACTAACCAAACAACTGTGGAAACGGAAAAGCTACAGTAAACTTTGATGACGTGAACCCCCTTGCCCCCAGTTGCCTCCGATACTCAGGTCCTGGAGAAGGTGACTAATAGATATTCGTTGTGGTCTCCCCTCCCCAAAACAGAGGGGGTGGGGGCGTTAGCTAGGAAACTTATTTTTCCTTAATTCCTGTGCAGCAAAATGTATTTCCCAATTAACCAAATTTGCCGATCTGTCCCGCTTGGACACTCTGATAATTTACAACCTAAAAGTGTACTTTCTTTATCTAAAGACCAAGGTGACTGCTTTTAATTTTCTCTAACCTCTTTACACTTGATGTTCACCAGACTCATAATGTTAATTGGCTTCATATACGGATCATCAGTTTAATGAAGAAATAAATCCTGTGTTGCTTTATGTTTTAACAGTGATTGCTTTAATGAGGAATGTGACGTGTTCCAAAATCAAAGCTGCAGGAGACATTAGATGGGATTTCTATTAGGACAGAAATGCTTATTTAAAGTTGAAACACGGGGTCATATTTCAACATTTTTTCTATTAGGGCCCTCCCCACCCCCACCTACCTGGGCAGCTTCCAGCCTCTACAGGGAGACACTTCTGTGGTCCTGGAGGCTTCTTCTGGTAATATTTAACTTCATCAGCTTCAAGCTGCATTCCCTATAAGAATCATATTCTGGTTATTGCATAGGGCACACTAGCTTACCTCTTGTCCAGCAGGGCATAGAGAAGCCAGAATACAGTGGGGAGTTCAACTTTCAAGGTTGTTCATGTTCTTAAATAAAGGGAGGAACAGAGTAGCACACACACACACAATTTGTGCACATTGTTGCAAAGGCAGCTTCCCCAGTGCAAATGCATTCATAGCACTGGAAACCCAGTGCTAGCTTCCAAAAGGCAGACAGCTCCCAGATTAGAGGAGTGGGCTCCTGATGACCAGGGCTCCACAGGGAAAGTGATGGCCCCCACCCAGATGGTGGGAGCTTTACATCCCCTATCAATTAATAGAAGAGTAAATCTGCTTTCTCTAATGTGTGTTTGATTTTTCTAATTTTAAACTGGTTCTATTGAAGGGAAAACTGTCATTTCAAAAACACTGAGAGCAGCAATAACATGCTGGAAATGGGAGCATCCTACATGCAAGCCCTCGATAGTTTGCAGTTATGTTGTGAGTCATTTTAAATTGATTCCTGGAAAGAATCCTATATCCCTAGAAAATGGAGGACTTTGAGTTACTGGCTTGAGATCTCTAACACCATACACAGCTGTGTTTCTTCTCATTTGTCCTGTTGAAGAAAATTCAGAGAAACATTTGGAAGCACTTCTGTGCACATCTTGCGGCTCCTAACCCCTGAGTATAGACTGGACCTGATAACCGTGGTCAGGAGGGACATCCCAGCTTCCCTTTTAAATTTTATCTTGAGCAAAACCAATTCCAATAAATACCACTTAGATCCCAACAACAAAGGCAAATAAAATAAATCAATTAACCAGGAGAAGAAGGGAAAATACACTCAACCCCTAATTACTTATTTTGGGAGAGTCCAAGATATTTGTATTGCTGTTTGAACGATAATTTAGAAACTGTATTTCAGTGCTATCCTGAGTGAGCATGCAGTGTTCCAGAAAAGGAAGGGAAGCTCAGGGTGTGCTTAGTTGTGCGTTTAGTGAGAATGTGGCATTCTTTCTACTTACAGGCAAAGGTGAGGTCATTTTGTAGTTTTGAAAACAGCCAATAAAACTTGGGTTAGTTACTCGTGATAGCTTTTTAAACATAGCAGCTAATTGAAATTTTGAGTGAACAGTTAACTTATGAACAGAACATGTGTGTGAAGAAAAGAATTAGTTATAGTTTTTATTATCTTAACAATTCTCTTTAACCCACAAGTTTATCTGTCATGTGAAAGTGATAAAAACTGTCCACATGCAAACCAGGTCCT